CTGACCACCATGGTGAAACCCGTCTCTACTAAAAATACAAAAATTAGCTGGGTATGGTGGTGTATGCCTGTAACCCCAGCTACTCAGGAGGCTGAGGCAGGAGAATCGCTTGAACCTGGAAGGCAGAGGTTGCAGCAAGCCAAGATCACACAACACACTCCAGCCTGGGGACAGAGTGAGACTCCATTCCCCCCGCCCCCAAAAAAAACCAAAAAACCAAAACACCAAAACACACACACACCCCACCAGAAAAAAAAACAAGCTGGGCTCAGTGGTACGTGCCTGTAGTCCTGGGTACTTGGAAGACTGAGGCAGGAGAATTGCTTGAGCCCAGGAATTTGAGGGCAGGCTGGGCAACATCACAAGGCTCCCGCTCTTAACAATACCACCTTAGAGCAAACTAGGAATAAAGAAAATGTCTGTAATCTGATCAAAGAGTATCCACAAACAATCAAACAAAAACCAAGCAAACAAAACTCCAAAGCAAAACATCGTGCTTTACGGTAAATTATTTAAAGCTTTCCCCCTGAGATCAGAAATGAGACAAAGACTCCTGCTTTTATTCACCACTTGTATTCAACACTGTAGTTGAGGTCCCAGCCAGTATAACAAAGAAAGAAAATGAAGTAAAATATATAAACATTGGAAATAAGAACTAAAACTGTCATTATTCATGGATGACAGATGATACGATTATGTGCACAGAAAAATCCAAAAGAATCTATAAACTGGGTGGGCACAGTGGCTCAAGCCTGTAATCCCAGCACTTTGGAAGGCTGAGGCAGGATGATAGCTTGAGCCTAGGAGTTTGAGACCAGCCTGCACAAACACAGTGAGACCCCATCTCTAAAAAAAATAAAATTAAAAAAAATTAAGAAATCTATAAACTATTAGAACTAATAAATGAATGTGGAAAAAATGGCTGGATACATGGCTGATATACACAAATGAATTTATTTCTATAAGCAAATACAAAGCAAAAAAAATTTTCCACAGCATCAAAAGCCAAAAACAGGCCAGATGCGGTGGCTCATGCCTGTAATCCCAGCACTTTGGAAGGCTGAGGTGGGCAGAGCACCTGAGGTTAGGAGTTTGAGACCAGCCTGGATAACATGGTGAAACCCCATGTCTACTAAAAATACAAAAAATTAGCCAGATGTGGTGACAGGCGCTGTAATCCCAGCTACTCAGGAGGCTGAAGCAGGAGAACTGCTTAAACCCTCAAGGCAGAGGTTGCAGTGAGCCGAGATGGTGCCATTGCACTCCAGCCTGGGCAACAAGAACTCCATGTCAAAAAAAAAAAAAAAAAAAAAAAAAAAATGGCCAAGGCACCCTGAGGAATAAAGCTGGAAGATTTAACTATCAGATACTGAGAATCACAAAACGACTATAATTAAGGCAGTGTAGTAGTGGGACAAAGACAGACAAAACAGACACACACGTAAAGGTCTTCTTGATTTATGACAAAGGTGCTCCTGAAATGCAACAGATGAAAGAATGACATCTTCAATAAACAGTTCTGGGTAACTGAATAACTATATAGGGGACCAAAAAAATCAAGTCCTTACTTCATACTATACACAAAAATCAATTATAGATGGATTGGAAATTTAAATGGCAAAGGCAAGCTTTTAGAAAACATCGGAGAATATCTTTGTGACCTTGGAATACACAATTGTTTAAACAACACACAAAAAGTACGGTTGGGTGCAGTGATCACCTGAGGTCAGGAGTTTGAGACCAGCATGGCTGACATAGTGAAACTCTGTCTCTAAAAAAAAAAAAATTAGCCGGGTGTGGTCATGCATGCCTATAGTCCCAGCTACTTAGGCCAAGGCAGGAGAACTGCTTGAACCCAGGAGGTGGAGGTTGCAGTGAACGGAGATTGTGCCACTGCACTCCAGCCTGGGTGACCAAGCAAGACTCCATCTTAAAAAAAAAAAAAAAAATCTGGGCACGCAGTAGTACTATTACTGAGTAGTCCCAGCTACTCAGGAGGCTGAGGTAGGAGAATCGCTTGAACCAGAGAGGTGGAGGTTGCAGTGAGCTGAGATCATGCCACTGTACTCCAGGCCTGAGGGACAGAGCAAGACTCTGCCTTTAAAAAAAAAAAGAGAGAGTGAGAGACACACTTAATATTTGGGGAGTAAAACAGATAAGACACAGAGTGGAAAAAATATTTGTAATATATATATCCAACAAAGACTATGTATGCAGAATCTATGAAAAACTCTTACAAATCAGTAAGAAAAAGGCAGACAACTCAACAGATAATCAGAGGACAACTTTAACAGGCATTCACAAAGGAGTATATCCAAATGCCAATAAACATATAAAAAGGAATTCAGTTTCATCATGATCAGAAGAATGCAAATTAAAACCACAATGAGAAACCACTATGTCCCACTAGAATACATAAAATTTTAAAAGCCTGGTAAAACAAAGTGTTGGTGAGGATGTGGAGCAACTACCACTTTCAAATGTTATTATAGAAGCATGAATTGATTAAATCATTATGGAAAAGAGTTTGGTAGACTCTATTTAATCTGAATACATATATATCCATATATAACAGATAGACATAAGAGGGACATCAGTAGTTTTCCTGCATACTCACCACAGCCTGTTTAAAAATATAAAAAGTTTACTACAGCATCAAAAATGTACAACATATAAACTTAATTTAAAAATGTGTAAGACTAGCTGGGTGTGGTGGCATGCACCTGTGGTCCCAGCTACTTGGGATGCTGAGGCAGGAGGTTTGCCTGAGCCCAGGTGGTCAAGGCTGCAGCCCTGATTGAGCCATCTCACTCCACCCTGGGTGACAGAGAGAGAACTTTTTTTGAGACAGAGTCTTGCTCTGTCACCCAGGTTGGAGTGCAATGGCTGGATCTCAGCTTACTGCAACCTCTGCCTCTGAGTTCAAGTGATTCTTCTGCCTCAGCCTCAGGTGCAAGCCACCACGCCCGGCTAATTTTTGTATTTTTAGTAGAGATGGGGTTTCATGATGTCAGCCAGGCTAGTCTTGGACTCCTGACCTCAGGTGATCCACCTGCCTCGGCTAGGATTACAGGCGTGAACCACTGTTCCTAGCCAAAATTGAGAACAAAAAAAATTTTTTTAAAGTATAAGTTTATAATGCGAGAACTATGAAGCTTTTACCAAGAACATAAAATAACATTTGAATAAACAAGGACAAACTGTATTCCTAGTTGGGGTATTCAATATTGCAAAGATGTTAGTGCTTCCTAAATTAATCTATAAATACAATGTCTTTGTCAAAATTCGAACGTGGTTTTTGGTAACTGACAATCTGATTTTATTTCATCTTTTTAAAAAAGGCCTAAGAATAAGTGGAAACATTTTGAAAAGTAATAATGAAAAGAGATTTAAGCTATCAAATGAAATGGGATTTAAGATGTCAAAATGGAATATTAAGCTATAAATAATTATTACAACTGTGGTACTGGCATGGAAATAGACAAAAAGATCAATGGAGGAGGGAAGCACAGATATGAATAAACATAGGATCGTCTAAGAGTCTTCTGGAATTCAACCCTGACTAAACTGAAAGCATCACTTTCCCTCACTAATCACTCTCCAAAATTCACTGTATCTCAGCAAGTGGTACAACATCTACACAATTGCAAGCCAGAAACTTGCGAATCATCCTCATGCTTTTCCTTCAAACCCAACATCCAATTCATCAGCAAATCCAAAAACCCTCAAACCCACTTGGCCAGTTCTGCAGATTTTACCACCTAAAAATATCCCTCATGATTCATAACCACTTTTAGAATCCCAGTTCAAGTTACCATCAGTGTTTGCCTGGGTCATTACAATAGCATCTAATTAGGTCTCCCACACTCACTTTTACTCTCCTCCAATTTGTTCTCCAAATTAGACAGTATGATCTTTTAAAATCACAACTATAATGATGTAAATACCACTTTAATGCCTTCTCATGTTCTTAAGACAAAATACAAAATCTTTAATTTGACCTATCATAATAGCTCATTAATGGGTAAACAGACTTAACACAAAAGTAATATGGGAAAAAAGTCAGTTATTTTGAATATGCCTTATTAATAAAGTAACTATAAAATGCTCTTAAACCTATACGATTTCACCCCAGGTTCAAGGTCTTCAAGTGTACTGGTTTTCTTCTATTAGCCATAGAGGTAATGTTCTGCCCTATTACTCCCGGTTTTCTCAATTGCCCGTCCCTCTGCTTGGACCTTCCTTCCCTCATGCCCTCGCATAAAGGCCCTGAACTGTGGAAAAAGGTCAGGTCTTTTATTATTCTCTCTCAAACCAAGCAAATTTCCATTGTGATTTTAATTAACTCTTTATGTTAGTCTTTCCCACTATGGTTAAGTCTGATGAGGGCAAGGATCACATTTCCTTTTGTTTACCGTTACATTCTCAAAGTCTAGAACTGTGCCCAATAAATAGGTGCTTCTTAAATTTGTTGAACAAATTACATATGAATTTTAATTATGTATAGCACTAAAACATAATGATGCCTCCATGAGCAACTCATGAAGCTCAGTAAAAGACCACCCAATCTTCATGATTCAATTGCCTTAGCTACATCTCCCCTTTTGGGAGGGAGATGGGAGGAGGACTTCTCAAACTGTGAGATGGTATACAATATGCTGTCTAATTCTAATGCCAAGGATAATTTGTAAAATCAATTGACTTAATGTGAACTAATCAGTTCAAAATTTGAGGGAAGTACTATGAGAAATTACAGACTGTTTCTCCCTCCTTTACTTGAAGAGAAAGTATAAATTAAGTTTAAATGACTGCCTCTCCCACAGATTACCTTGATATTCAAGGTTGTATTCTAGCATAAAAATCGTTGAAGGTATCTGAAGTATTATTACTCATTAATAAAATACTATTCAGGAATATACAGACTTTAGTTCTCTATTATTTTAAGGCTTTACTTCCATTAATGGAAAACAAGAAAGTTCTTCTAGTCTTTCAGTACTTACAAGTGAAGGAACTGTGAATATCTGAACCGAGAGGTCTGCGACTGAAAACTCTCTGTCGTGGTCATCTGTCACATAATCACTCTGCAAACGCTCATAGTTCTATTAAGAAGGCAAAAAAAGGCAAGGAGTGCCAGCTATCAGTTACAAAGAAAAGGCAAGCACTACTCACCAGAGTAGGTGCGGTGAAGAACTGGACAGACAGAGCAGTCACCGACACTGCTCGTTCGTGATCATCCTCCATAAAATCTCTCTGCAACTGCTGGTAATTCTAAACAACAAGGGGGAGATTCACCTCTAATCCACATTGACCAAATATTTATGAATTATAATGAAAAGTCAGTGCTGGAGGAAGTCAAGAAGGTAATACTGCTATGAGAACAGTAACTGGAATGATTTCTACCAATAGACTCCTGTACAGACATTGATCCACTATGTAATCTGTGGAATTCTCTGTAATATTGCTTCTTTCAATGGCAGTTTACCAGCCCAAATAGGAAGTAACAACTCCTAAGCTCCCAGGATGCCACTGCACGCCAGTGGAGCTAAACCACAGCAGCATTACACTGTTTCTGATGAAACCAGACTTTCATTAGTTCTGGATCATATCAGAATCATCTAATGACTCTTGGTGAATCTGCTTCAGTAGATTTGAGAATGAAACACAACACATGTATTTTAAAAGAGCTCTCCAAGTGATTCTGATACACTTCCTAATTCAGGTGAATGCGAAAAAGTAAGTGGTTAGCTTAGCACATGCTGCTAAAAGTGAGAACTTAATTAAACTATATCAATAACCAAGAGTTTTCAAGAGACCTTGTTTCTTCAAAAAAAAAAAAAACAAAAAAACCCAGCAAAATACATGTTTTCCTCAGCACAAAATATCTGCAATCTAATTATTTATAAAATCAAAGTTTTCTAAATAGGATTTTCTAACAAATATAAAGGCTATTTAATTTGGATCATGCCCACGTTGCCCCCCCCCACAAAAAAATCTGTATTTTTCAAAGACTAAGACTGCAATGCTAATTTTAAAATGCACAAATATATTTATTAAATCATATCCATATATATGTCATTTAAACAGAGATTAGTTTCCTTATGTGAATTTTAATAGAAAAAATACCATAATTCACAATGGCATAGGTTTAAAATCTTCATTTATTATTTCATAAACACTGCATAGATGGATATTCATCACAGGAGGTGATGAACAAGAAGTCTCATTGTTATAATTTTATTCTATTTATAAAGAATGAAAAGATTATGAAGTTTCATAAATTTAATATCAACACACTGATATATTACTATTAGATGTTAATTTTTTGCAGCCTAGATATAATTATGGGCATAGTTACTCTACATATAAACTGTTTTCAAAATTGAAAAACCACTTACTTTTGCAAATCGAACAGCAAACAGCTTCTTGTATTTCAAATCCATAAGCAGACTGCTCATGAACAACTGATGATATACACTCCTAGCACCTTGTAGAAAAAGATCTCAGTCTAAGATAAGGACACACCAAACAGTTATATTTCTCAAGTTTTATGTGATCCACCATTTTTTTTTTTTTTTCTGAGACAGTATCTTGTTGTGTTGCCCAGGCTGGTTTTGAATTCCTGGGCTCAAGTGATCCTCCTGCCTCAGCCTCCCAAAGTGCTGGGATTACATGTGTGAACCACCATGCTTAGCCAACACAGTATTTATTTTATTTTTTTTTAAGAGATAGGGTCTTGTTTTGTTTCCCAGGCTGAACTCAAACTCTTAGGTCAAGTGATCCTCTTGCCTCAGCCTCCTGTGTAGCTGGGACTACAGGCACACACCACTGAGACTGACTTGTATTTTAAGCCTCAAATACAAAACCAATGGCTTTTAAGCCAGACATGGTGGTATGCATGTGTATTCCCAGCTACTAGGGAGGCTAAGAAGCGGGGATTGCTTGAGCCTAGGAGTTCAAGGCTGCAGTGACCAATGATCATGGCACTGCACTCCAGTCTGGGCAACAGTGTGACATCCTGTCCCTTCAAAAAAAGAGCAAAATACATGCTTTCCTTAGCACAAAATACTTGCCATCTGCTTATTTATAAAATCAAGTTTTCTAAACATAATTTTCTAACAAAATGTAAAGGCCATTTAAGTTGGATCATGGACCTTCCCACCCCCTCAAATCTGTATTTTTCAAAGACTAAGACTACAAAGCTAATTTTAAAAAGCACAAATATATTTATTAAGTATTTTCCCAAATGATAAAAATCTTTCACATCCCAATGACTTATATAGGTTCCTCTACACCTTAAAAGTAGTTAAGAGATTCACCTTTCCATAATTTGGAATCATTAAGCATCAGTCTGTCCACTAGAGAAGAGTTTTCACCATCTGGCCCTTCTTGTAAACCAACTTGACATAAAATCCGGCGAAGGCCATCTTTAAATAGAAGGAAAAGTAGTTATGAGACAGCAACTTCAAATATTAAAATAAAGTGACATTTTAGTAGCTGTTCAAATAGATCCACAGAGTTTTAAATGTTTTACTAAAGGTCAAATTTATTCAGAAAAAGCAAACATATTAACTATTTTATTAATATTTTAACAAAATGGATATAAATTTCAAATCTCACATTACATGCTACTACTCCTGAAGGTCAAAATATATGTCTGTCATAAAGGCAATAACCTCTTGTGCTTTAATCAATTTAATTAAAGAGAAAAACATCTAAAAATCACTTAATATTATTCTTCAAGCACTTATGCTAATCAAACCAGATTACAATAAAAATGTTATACATTCCATAACTGAAGATAAATATAAAATGTGCTACATTTAAAAGGAGAAATGCATGACTTCTGTACTATAATATATACCACTGCATTTTATTAATGCTACATAAAACGTTCTTCATTCATTAAACCAAAACTTATTGTGGACCTGCCATGTGAGAAATCCTGGAAGACATATTATTACAACCTTTTAAAAGCATACTTTAGAAAAGTTCTTCAAATATTAATATAAGCATTAAAATAACCAAAGCTTTAACATCTATTTGTTCCATACATATATATACATATGAAACAAATATGTGTTTGTGTGTGTGTGTATATGTGTGTGTGTGTGTGTATATATATATGGTCGTTGTTGTTTTGTTTTTGTTTTGAGACAGAGTCTCACTCTGTCACCCAGGCTGCAGTTCAGTGATGTGATTTTGGCTCACTGCAGCCTCTGTCTCCTGAGTTCAAGTAATTCCCGTGCCTCAGCCTCCCAAGTAGCTGGGATTATAGGTGTGTGCCACCACACCTGGCTAATTTTTGTGTTTTTAGTAGAGACGGGGTTTTACGCTATGTTGGACAGGCTAGTCTCGAACTCCTGAGCTCAAGTGATCCACTTGCCTTGGCCTCTCAAAATTCTGGGATTACAGGCGTGAGCCACTGTGCCTGGCCCCATACTTTTAAATTATTGTTTTATCGTATTCAAGCATGCAAAATAAAAAAAAAAGAAGTAATTTTTAATTATAAAAGCTGTCAAACAGAAATCCTTTAAAAGGTGAAAGAGAAGACCTATGTAAGTATTAAATAGGAATATGTAAATTACTGATGATAAACATCTCAAAGAAAATTTTCAGCAGCACGTTACTTCCATTATACTATTCATTAACAGTGTAGTACAACACTTGGTGTATAGGCTATCCAATGGAAAACACCAAAATAAAGAATATAGGGCTAAGAAAAATAACTGGAAAGATATTTATTCGTTGATTTCCTTTTAAAAAATTTGTAGATAGAGATGGGTCTCCCTGCAGTTACCCAGGCTGTTCTATGAACTCCTGGGTTTGAGGGATCCTCCCACCTTGGCCTCCTGGAGTGTTATGGCTACAGGAGTGGGCCACCACAGCCTGGCCTGGAAAGATAATTTAAAAGTCAAGTAAATGTGTTCTCTTAAACTTCCACACCTCTGTATTTTCGACTCTCAGTTCAGGGTAGTAAGGCTTTTTTCTAAAAGCCCTTCAATGCAAATGTATTCAAATTTTTCTTAAACATCCGAATGTCACTTACCCACAGTCTTACCTGAAGAACAGCATGACAGCTTCTATCTATCCCTGTTTTAACCTTTAGTATTACACACCAGGCTTGTATTTTTGGCTGGAGATATGAGGATTCCTAATTCTTACCATTACATAAAGAAAAATGATCAAATTTCTACACTCTGGAATTTTTCTTTCTTTCTTTATTTTTGTTTTTTTTTGAGATGGAGTTTTGCTCTTTTGCCCAGATTGGAGTGTAGTGGCATCATGTTGGCTCACTGCAACCTCTGCTTCCCGGGTTCAAGTGATTCTACTACCTCAGCCTCCTTAGTAGCTGGGATTATAGGCACACGCCACCACGCCCAGCTAATTGTTGTATTTTTAGTACAGATGGGGTTTCGCCATGTTGGCCAGGCTGGTCTTGAACTCCTGACCTCAGGTGATCCACCTGCTTGGGCCTCCCAAACTGCTGGGATTACAGGCGTGAGCCACTGCACCCGACCAAAATTTTTTTTAAAACACAAATTGGTAACTTCCAATTAGCAAATTTTTAGAGTTACAAATTATTGGTAACCAAAAGTGGTAGGAGGAGTCAAAACAAAGAAATCAACATTATTGTTTTATCATTTAAACTGTTAATCACTTAGGTTTTATTTACAACAGTATTTTTCCAGCTTACTCAGGAGTTCCACAAAATGCTCCACTAAAAGAAAATTTTTTAAAAATTGTTTGTGAAATGTACATTGCATTGTATTAGCATATTAATGTCCTTTACAATTGTTTAAACCAACTGTTTCTTGCATTTATTTGAACAGAGAATCCTTTGTGTGCATATAAAAATATCCAGTATGACAAAATTGGTTAAACATAGGTTGTCTTCTATGCATAAAGATGGTATTTTAAAATGTAAAATTAAAGCAGGAAATTATTCCATTTGATATGTTTCCCAAAACAGTTTTGCAAGGGCATACTGAGCTCATTTTTAATAGACAATTAGCATAGACTTTCTTGAACCTACCTGAATATCCAATAATACTTCCCAGCCAAGACAAAAGTTTCAAACCAAAATTCTGATGTGCGACGATAGACGAATGCATAACTTGAACTTTGAGTGGCTTTGTCTGTCTACTGGTATTTCTCTTAAAAAGAAATGGCAAGATTAAAAAATTTACTTAAAAAGCTATTCTATTGGTAGAAAGAGGTTAATTATTTCTACTTAAGATAATCATACCGTCATTATCACAGGAGAATTTTTCATGCATGTGAGAAAAACATCATTCTGTTTGATTTACTTGATTCAGATCCTAATTTTCTAGAGGAAATCTTAGGATTCATACAAAAAAACGAGAAGATACAGCTAGTTTATGAGTAATCTGAATCTTTTTTTTTTTTTTTTTTGAGGTGGAGTCTCACTCTGTCACCCAAGCTGGAGGGCAGTGGCGCAATGTTGGCTCACTGCAACCTCTGCCTCCTGGGTTCAAGTGATTCTTACAGGCACACACCATGATGCCTGGCTAATTGTTGTATTTTCAGTAGAGAAGGGGTTTTGTCACCGTTGGCTATATTGTTCTCGAATCCCTGACCTCCAGTGATCTGCCTGCCTCGGTTTCCCAAAGTGCTGGGATTACGGGTGTGAGCCACTGCGCCTGGCCGGTAATCTGAATCTTTAGTCCTGTATTTGAAAATCTGCTGTACCAATAATAAATGATTTAAATGTTTTAGCTTGCTGTCTTTCATTTCTTAATACAATTATGTACTTATTTAATTAATTTACTGCACGGATGTGATCATGTTATCAAATTTTTTTTAAAAACATGGTAAAATACATAGAAAACTTTCACCTTAGCCATTTTTACGTGTACAGTTCAGTACTGTTAAGTACACTCACACTGTTGTGAAACTAGTCTCCAGAACTCTCTATGTTGCAGAAATGAAACTCTACATAAAACTTATTAAACAGCAAGTCCCTGCTACTTTCTTTCCCTAGCATTTGGCAACCACCATTCTGTATCTTTCTGTCTCTATGGACATGACAATGCTAGGTAGCTCATATAAGTAGAACCATACGGTATTTATCTTTTTGTTACCCACTTATTTCACTTAGCATAATGTTTTCAAGATCCATCCATGTTGCAGCATGTATCAGAACTTCCTTCCTCTTCAAGAACGAGTAATACACCACTGCATATATATACCACATTTTGTTTCTCCATTAGACACTTGGGTTGCTGCTACCTTTTGGCTATTGTGAATAACTGTGCTTGAACAGGGGTGTAAAATATCTCTTTGAAACCTGTTTTCAATTATTTTGCATGTATACCCCGAAGCAAAATTGCTGGATCATAGGGTAATTCTATTTTTAATGTTTTGAGAAATTGCCGTGCTGTTCTCCATAGTGGCTATACCATTTTACCTTCCCACCAGTGGTGCACAAAGGTTTTAATTTCTCCATATAAGGATATAGAGAAATAAAAGATTTTTATATTAATAAAAAAAAGCCAACACTTTTTTTTCTTTTAGAGACGGAGTCTTGCTATGTGGCCCAGGATGGAGTGCAGAGGCTATTCACAGGTACCATCAACACATACTATATCCTTGAACTCTGAACTCCTAGGCTCAAGCAATCCTCCTGCCTCAGCCTTCAGAGTAGCTGAGCCTATAGGTGCACGCCTATCCATTTTTTTTTTTTTTTTTTGACAGAAGCCATCCTAATAGGTGTGAGGTGGTATCTTATCAGCTGCTTGCATATCTGCTCTGGAGAAATGTCTATTCAAGTCTATCAACACCTTTTCTTTTTTTTTTTTAAACAGGGTTTCACTCTGTTGCCCAGGCTGAAGTGCAACGGTGTGATAACAACTCACTGCAGCCTCGATCTTCCGGGCTTAAGCAATCCTCTATCTTAGCCTCCCCAACAGCTGAGGCTTCAGGTGTGCGACACCATGCCTGGCTAATTTTTGTTATTATTTTCTGTAGAAATGGTGTTTTGTCATGTTGCCTAGGCTGGTGTCTCAAACTCATGGGCTCAAGTGGTTTGCCTGCCTTGGTCTCCCGAAGTGCTGGGATTACAGGGGTGAGCTGATGTGCCTTGCCAACACTTTTTAAAGAATGTGTTGGCCGCGCGCCGTGGCTCATGCCTGTAATCCCAGCACTTTGGGAGGCCGAGGTGGGCGGATTACGAGGTCAAGATATTGAGACCATCCTGGCCAACAGGGTGAAATCCCATCTCTACTAAAAAATGCAAAAATTAGCTAGGCGTGGTGGCACGTGCCTGTAGTCCCAGCTACTCAGGAGGCTGAGGCAGGAGAACTGCTCGAATCCGGGACGTGGAGGTTACAGTGAGCCGAGACTGCGCCACTGCACTTCAGCCTGGCACCTGGCAAACAGAGCAAGACTTTGTCTCAAAAAAAAAAAAAAAAAAAAAGAATGTGTTTACCCCTTTTCATTTTTTTTTTCCTTGGGGTCCTTTTACTCTCTGCTCCATCCCTTCTCTATTACATACATTAACACAGTAAGTGTTGTATATGTTCTCCATTTACATATTTTATATACACATTTCTAAAGATTAGTTTGATTTACGAAAATCAAATACTATACATGCTTTTGTGCATCTTAGCTTTAATTGATTTTTTCTGTTAATGACTACATAATATTCTGTGGTGCAGATTACTAAAACATCATTCAGAGAAGGGGATTCATTGTCTCTGTTTCTAGACCTCTGTGACTACAAAAAAAGCAGTACTGTACTGAACACACTGGATACACACTTACTGGTGCTTGTATTTCTATGAGATAAATTCCTAGGTGAGGTAAAGCTTTAACATACGTTACTAGATTGTTTTCCCTAAATGCTATAGGAATTTACTATTAAATATGTATTCTTAGTCTTTGCATCTCTGCAAGTAAGATATTTTATCACTCTAACTTCATGTATATCGACCAGGTAATTTTCTCTGCTATAATCTGTCTTTTCACAGCCTTTGTCTATTTTTGTATTTTATTGTTTGTTCCCTGCTTGATAATCTGTAAGTGTAGTTTCTGATACATTATTGAATGTTGAGACATTAAGAAAGAATTTCTATAACAAGACGTAAAACATACAAAACATATAACAAGACATAAAACACACAAAACATAAAACTCTCTCTCGAGATAGAGTTTCGTTCTTGTTGCCCAGGTTGGACTGCAATGGTGTGATCTTGGCTCACTGCAACCTCTGCCTCCTGGGTTCAAGTGACTCTCCCGCCTCAGCCTCCTGAGTAGCTGGGATTATAGGCATGTGCCACCACGCCTGGGCTAATTTCGTATTTTTTAGTACCGGAGTTGGGGGGGCGGGGCTTTCTCCTGTTGGTCAGGCTGGTCTTGAACTCCTGACCTCAGGTGATCTGCCCGCCTTGGCCTCCCGAAGAGCTGGAATTAGACATAAGCCACTGTGCCCAGCCTAGGAAGATATATCTTTTGCTATATTAAAATTTAAAGTTTTTACTCAATGAAAGGCACCACAAAAATCTTAAATAGGAAAAAGATAATCCAACAGAAAAAAATAAGAAAAAATAAGAATATGAACAGGAAATTTGCCAAAAAGAAAACTTAAATGACCAATACAATAAATATAAAATAAGATAGTTAAAAATCAGGCCAGGTGTGGTGGCTCACGCCTGTAATCCCAGTACTTTGGGAGGCCAAGGTGGGCAGATCATGAGGTCAGGAGTTCGAGACTAGCCTGGCCAACATGGTGAAACCCTGTCTCTACTAAAAATACAAATATTAGCTGGGCGTGGTAGTGTGTGCCTGTAGTCCCAGCTACTCAGGAGGCTGAGGCAGAAGAATTGCTTGAACCTGGGAGGCGAAGGCTTCAGTGAGCTGAGATCGTGCCATTGCACTCCAGTCTGGACGACAGAGCAAGACTCTGTTTAAAAAAAAAAAAAAAAAAAAAATCAAGGAAAATGCAAATTTAACTGATAAAACACCATTTCACACGCTTTAGACTGGCAAGTTTTTTTTTTTTTTTTTTTTTTCTTTCTCTTAAGACAAGATCTTGTTCTGTCACCCAGGCTAGACCGCACTTGTGTAATCAAAGCTCACTGAACGCTTGGACTCCTGGGCTCAGGCAATCCTTCTACCTCAGCCTCTTGAGTAGCTAGGACTACACATGCATGCCATTATGCCTGGCTAATTTTTTAAATTTTAATTTTTTGGGTAGAGTCAGGATCTGGCTCTGTTGCCCAGGCTGGTCCCAACTCCTGGCCTCAATCGATCCTCTTGCCTCGGCTTCCCAAAGTGCTAGATTTACAGGTGTGAGCCACAGTGTCCAGATTGATAAAATTTAAAAATTTGACAATATATAGTTTTAACAAAGATATGGAGAAATGGGCCCTCTCATATACTGCTGGTGGGAAACCATATTGGTACCACAGTTTTGGAGACAAACTAGGCAAAATCTAGTGAAGCTGAGAATGTCCATACCCTAAAAACTCAGAATTCCATTTCTTGGTATATACCCTAGGGAAACTTTTGCAACAATACAAAATAATGCTCATAGCAGGAGTATTTGTCACAACAAAGAAACTGAAAACATCCTAACTGTCTATCAACAGGAGAATAAATAACTTGTGGTTTAATCATCATGAAATACTATACAACGTTTAAAAAGTGAATGAATTACAGCAATGTGTATCAACACAGATAAACCTAAAAATCACCCTGAAATGAAAAGGCAAGCTGCATTGTCATACATTCAATATGTATCTTGTTACATAGCGTTTAAAGGGTCTCAAATCAATCTATATAATGTTGATGGATATTTAATATATGAAATATAAAGGAATGCACAATAATGCAAAGAGTAAATCAAGCAAAGTAATTATCGCTAGGGAAGGAGAAAGAGTAATGGGGTGAAGAAAAGATAATACAGGCCAGGTTTGGTGGTTCATGCCTACAATCCCAGGACTTTTGGAAGCCCAGGCAGGCGGATCACTCGATGCAAGGAGTTTGCGACTAGCCTGGATAACTTGGTGAAACCCCCTTTCTACTAGAAATACAAAAAACCAATTAGCTAGTCACATATACCTGTAATCCCAACTACTCAGGAAGCTGAGGCACAAGAATTGCTTGAACTTGGGAGGTCGAGGTTGTAGTGAGCAAAGATCATGCCACTAAACTCCAGCCTAGGTGACAGAGTAATACTGACCATAAATAATAATAATAATAATAATACAGTGGCCTCCATACTATTTTATATATTTAAAAATTTAAAAGAAATTTGAGGCTGAGTGCGGTGGCTCAGACCTGTAATCCCAGCACTTTGGGAGACTGAGGCAGGTGGATCACTTGAGCCCAGGAGTTTGAGATCAGCCTGGACAACACAGTGAAACCCATCTCTACTAGAAATACAAAAATTAGCTGAGCGTGGCTGCCTGTGCCTACAATCACAGCTACTTAGAAGGCTGAGGCAGGAGAATCACTTGAATCTAGAAGGCAGAGCCGAGATTGCACCACTGCATTCCAGCCTGGGCTAGAGACTCCTCCTCCTCAAAAAAAAAAAAAAAATTATGATACATAAAAAATTATTTTTTAAAAAGAATATTTACATAAAATTCAGTTATATGGAGTGGTGAAAATAAATTCTAATTTCTAAAAATAAATCCAAATGTGGAGAATAGTTTGCTTTTAGAAAGATGATACACTAATTGCCATGAGGATATGGAATATATTTTGCCATAACGTACCAAGTAACAACTTTCCTTGCATTGTAAATGTGGTGCTTAAGGCCATTTTAATTTCTAAAAAGTAACAGAAAATTCTACTAATTAAAAACAAAACAAAAAGCAAAAAACATTCTAAGACTGCTTTGATGGAGAAATGGAATATATCTTATCTACATACTCATTTTCTGTATCAATCTTAGACAGCTTTAAAAAACTAGATAAAACAATAATGCAATATTCAAGAAACATCTTTAAACATAATTTTTGGTTAACATTGATTTCATTCACAAAAGCAGAAAGACAAGTTCATAAATGCTGAAATATGAAGCTAGTTTTAAACTAATAAAAAATAATACAGAGCCGGGCGCGGTGGCTCAAGCCTGTAATCCCAGCACTTTGGGAGGCTGAGGCGGGTCAATCATGAGGTCAAGAGATCGAGACCATCCTGGTCAACATGGTGAAACCCCGTCTCTACTAAAAATACAAAAAAAATTAGCTGGGCATGGTGGCGCGTGCCTGTAATCCCAGCTACTCAGGAGGCTGAGGCAGGAGAATTGCCTGAACCCAGGAGGCGGAGGTTGCAGTGAGCCGAGATCGTGCCATTGCACTCCAGCCTGGGTAGCAAAAGCGAAACTCCGTCTCAAAAAAAAAAAAAAAAATAATAATAATAATACAGGCATGCTTTAAAATTACTTACCACAATTACTGATTTTGCTTGCTCACAATACTGGAAGTCTCCATATCGAACAGACCTACGCCCCTGTAAATAAAGATATTTAAAATTAAGCTGTGAAAGTATTGTATTCAATATTAGTAACTTTCAAACCAGTAAACAAACATGTTTAAGCATATAACAGGCTCACATCTGTAATCTCAGCATTTTGGGAGGCGGAGATGGGTGGATTATGAGGGCAGGAGTTCAAGACCAGCCTGGCCAAGATGGTGAAACCCCACCTCTTTTTTTTCTTTTTTTAAATTAATTAGGAGAGAGATCCAAGATGGCTGATTACTAGCAGCTCAGGATTGTAGCTCCCAGTGAAAGCGCAGAGAACGAGAGGACGCCACACTTTTATACGAATTTTTGTTGCTCACAGACCATGAGATTCCCAGTGGAGGAGCCCCATGGGTCACCAGCACCACTCTTTGTGGCTGGCGTGGCGGTTTTGCCGGTGCCTCCATGTGGCGGTTCTTGGTGCAGAGTAAATGGGACTCGGTCCCCTTTTGGTCGACGTTTGGCGCTCTGGGAAGGCAGAGTCGCCTATTCAGCTGATTGAAAAAGGGACTCAAGAAGGAAGCCAGACCGGAGATTCCCAGGCAGAAAAGCACCACATATCTTAATGCCGCTGTTTTGGCCAGCGCAGTGGGTTGCTCAGATTCCGGTGCTGGGAATCAACAAGTTGGACGTCCACTCAGAGATCTAATTTGAAAGTCAGTAATTACAAAGATGACAGGTGGATAAATTTACAATCATGGGAAGAAATCAGCATAAAAAGGCTGAGAATACCCCAAATCAGAATGCCTCTCCCTCTACAGGGGATCACAGTTTCTCATCAACAAGGGAACCAGGCCTGATGGAGAATGAGTGTGTTCCATTAACAGATTTAGGCTTCAGAAGGTGGATACTAAGAAACTTCTGTGAGTTAAAAGAACATGTTCTAGCCCAATGTAAAGAAACTAAGAACCTTGAAAAAAGGTTTGACGAAATCCTAACGAGAATAGACAATCTAGAGAGGAATATAAGTGAATTAATGGAACTCAAGAATACAATACGAGAACTCCACGAAGTATGCCCAGGTTTTAACAGTCGAATTGATCAAGCAGAAGAAAGGATATCAGAGGTCAAAGATCAACTTAATGAAATGAAACAAGAAGACAAGATCAGAGAAGAAAGAGTAAAAAGGAATGAGCAAAGTCTCCAAGAAATCGGGGACTATGTGAAACAACGTAATTTACGTTTGATAGGTGTACCTGAATGTCATGAAGAGAATGAATCCAAGCTGGAAAATATTCTTCAGGATATTATTCAGGAAAACTTTCCTAACTTAGTAAGGCAGGAAAATACTCAACTTCAGGTAATACAGAGACCACCACAAAGATATTCCTCAAGTAGAGCAACCTCAAGACACGTAATTGTTAGCTTCACCAGGGTTGAAATAAAGGAGAACATTCAAAGGGCAGCTAGAGAGAAAGGTCAGGTTACCCATAAAAGGAAGCCTATCAGACTCACAGCAGATCTCTCAGCTGAAACCCTACAAACTAGAAGAGAGTGAGGGTCAATATTCAATATCCTCAAAGAAAAGAAGTTTCAACCCAGAATCCCATATCCAGCCAAATTAAGCTTCATAAATGAAGTAAAAATAAAATTTTTCACGAACAAGCAAGCACTCAGAGATTTTATCACCACCAGGCCTGCTTTACGAGAGCTTCTAAAAGAAGTACTATACACAGAAAGAGACAACCAGTATCAGTCATCCCAAAAACTTACCAAAAGGTAAAGAGTATCTCCATAATGAAGAATCTATATCAACGAATGGGCAAAATAGCCAGCTAGCATTAAAAGACAATATTAAACTCAAAAATATCAATATTAATCCTAAATTTAAATGGATTAAATGCCCCAATCAAAGACACAGACAGGCAAATTGAATAAAAAGTCAAAACCCATCGGTTCGCTGTATCCAGAGCCATCTCATAAGCAAGGACACACAAAAACTCAAAACAAAGGGTTGGTGGAAGACTTACCAATCAAATGGAGAGCAAACAAACAAAGAAAAGAAAACAGGAGTTGTAACTTTTGTCTCTGACAAAATACTTTAATAGTAACAAGGACTAAAAGAAACAAAGGACATCACAAAATGGTAAAAGGATCAATGCAACAACAGGAGTCAATGATCATAAATATATATGCACCCAATATAGGAACACCCAGATACATAAGACAAGTTCTTAATGACTTATAAAGAGACTTGGACTCCCACACAATAATAGTGGGAGACTTTGACACCACACTGTTAATATTCAACTGATCAATGAGATAGAAAATTAACAGGAATATCTATGATTTGAACTCAGACCTGGAATAAGTAAACTCAGTGAATATTTATAGAATTCTTCACCGCAGGTCCACAGAACATACATTTTTCTCAGTACCATATTACACCTATTTTGAAAGTGACCACATAATTGGAAGTAAATCACTCTTCAGCATTTACATAGCATTTCACAGACTTAAATGAAATATTGGCTGGCTGTTTATGATTTTCTTCCCTTATTCCTTCCTGTTTCCGCTGTTAAGCACAATTATCGGCTAAAAATGGTTTTTAATACCTATTTTTAGATTGCATTCCAGCCTGGGCAATAGAACAAGACTCCTGTTCTTTCTCTCCCTTTCTCTTACTCTTTCTTTCAAAAAAAAAAAAAAAAATTAATTAATTAAAAAAAAGCATATAACAACTCTGATCAATTTTCATTATTTACAACCTTCATCCTACTCACTGATAAGTTAAATTTTCCCTTCAAAGCTATGCTAACTTTTCCAAGCCATTAATATATTTCCTTGAACAACACATTTATTCTAGGCATCTATAATTTCCATTTTCATAACTATATGTCCTCTTAAACTTTCTATCTGGCAATAGCTTATACTAAATATACATTTAGGCCAATATTCAAATGAAATTTTTTTTTCGAGACAGAGTCTTGCTCTGTTGCTTAGGCTGGAGTGCAATGGCGCAATTTTGGATCACTGCAACCTCCGTGTCCTGGGTTCAAGCGATTCTCCTGCCTCAGTCTCCTGAGTGGCTGGGATTACAGGTGTGTACCACCATGTCCGGCTAATTTTTGTATTTTTAGTAGAGACGAGGTTTCACCATGTTTGTCAGGCTGGTCTTGAACTCCTGACCTTGTGATCTGCCCGCCTCAGTGTCCCAAAGTGCTGGGATTATAGGTGTGACAAATCAAATTTCAAGAAAAGCCTAGCTATATATATATACATTTTTAACTCAACTTTTCCAGGGTAACTTACCTGTAGTAAAAATAGAATTTATTATCGACATGGTAAAATTACTTACATCTCGATCTACTGTAGTTGCAAAACCAATCGCTTCTTTTTGTGTACAGTTAACAGCTTTCTGAAGAGTATAAATAACTTGTTCATACGTATGAACCTCATCATTAAACAGCATGCAATAGTAGGTGTCACTCTTCTCTCTGTGTGATAAAATATTAATGATATATTCATTATCTATTTGCATATTTATCTTGCTCCAGGCTCACTTATTAAGAGGCCACTTTGTCCTATGTGATGTGCTAGGTACTGGACACATATCTGTAAAGAATTCATCTGCGGTCCCTGTGCTCTAACTACAGTCTGGTAGAGAAAATATATATTGCACATATGACTCTGTGTAAACAGGTTTTTATCAAGAAAAGAAGAAAGCAGAGCAGGGTATAACAGGCCTGGGAGCTCAGAGAAGAACTCTTGGAGAAGTGATCTGAGACCTGAAGTCAGAATTGGCTATCAGTAGCTCTCAACCATGGGCAATTCCCCTCCGCTTCCCATAGTTGACCATTTGGCAAGCATCTGAAGACATTTTTGGTTGTCAAGACTGGGGCTTGGGGTGCTGCTGGCATCTAGTGGGTAGGAGCCAGGAAATGTTGCTAAATATCTTGCAATTCACCAGACGGCCTCCATAACAAAGAATTAATCTGGCCCCTAATTCCAATAGTGCCAAGGTTGAGAAACCCTGGAGAGAGGAATGTGAAAGCAAAGGTGTTAAAGTGGCAAAGGTAAATACTGGGAGATGGAGCACAAGAAGGAAGGGGGAGATTAGCATATGATCAGTCTGTTCTGGAGAGAGGCAGAAATCTTGAACAACTTATAATTTTTTTTTTTTTTTTGAGACAGGTTCTCACTCTGTTGCCCAGGCTGGAGTGCAGTGGCACAATCATGGCTCACGGCAGCCTCAACTTCCCAGGTTCAATTGATCCTCCTGCTTCAGACTCACGAACAGCTAGGACTACAGACTATTTGTGCACCACCCTGCCCAGCAAATTTTTAAATTTTTTATAGTACATTGTCTTGCTATGTTGCCCAGGCTGGTCTCCAACTCCTGAGCTCAAGTGATCTACCTGCCTTGGCCTCCCAAAGTGCTGGGATCACAGGCATGAGCCATTGTGTTAAGTCAGCTTATAATGTATTTTGATTTTTGCTATCCTAAGGGCAATCAAAATTTTCAGATAGGAGACATGACCAGAACTGCCTTAAAGCTGACTTTGACTGCAGTATAGAAAATGAACTATAAGGGGCAAGAGTGTACGTGGTGGTCTAGTCAGGAGGCCATGATGCCCCCAAGTGAAATTAATTTGGACTAGGTTACTAAAGTATACTAAAGTATTCTACACGACAACAATACTACAGTAAAAGTCATGAGGTACTAAGTTATTACCATCATTTCCAAAAAGGTATAGTCACCTCATTTTATTAGAAAACACTTAACCTACAACTTTATCTGAAACACAATTGAGAGCAAAAAAGAAATACCAACAATGCCCCTCAGATCCTCATTCCAGCTTGTATTCATTCTAAACTATGACTATAATTCCAACAAGCTTGGTCTTACTTCTAAGAAAGTTGTTTGAGACAAGCACACTAACAAGAAAAAGAAAGTCCTAATCCTAATACATTTGTGGCAGAATCCAGCCCTCTGGTCACAAGTTTGTAACCTCAATAATTTATGTAAAAATGGATGGTATATGTATGCTATAAAAGTACAGTGTAGAATATATTTTATTAAAAGTTAGAGTCAAAATGATTAAAACTGAATTTGAGCATTTATTCAAACCAGAAAACTCATTTATATCAGAGTTCATTCCCTAATGATATTAATATATAATAGAACAAAAACTAGAATTGTAAAGTTAATCTGTCATTTTATCATACAATCAAAGAACAGAAAACTGGTTATGCCTGAAACCAGTCCTAGAGCTATGACATAATTTAAATATGGCTACAAACCAACTAATCAACCAATCAACCAACCAAACAGGGAGAAACCTCCACCAAGTAAATGGATCACATATGTTTTAAAACTACAAAATCAAGGTTATTGTTTTGCTGAAAACTCATTATTTAAAAAATGATTATGCCCTACACTAGCTGTGTTAAAGTTAAAATTTAGTAGTTCTTCATACACAAAGAATAAACAGGCCGGGCACGGTGGCTCAAGCCTGTAATCCCAGCACTTTGGGAGGCCGAGGTGGGTGGATCACAAGGTCAAGAGATCGAGACCATCCTGGTCAACATGGTGAAACCCCGTCTCTACTAAAAATACAAAAAATTAGCTGGGCATGGTGGTGTGTGCCTGTAATCCCAGCTACTCAGGAGGCTGAGGCAGGAGAATTGCCTGAACCCAGGAGGTGGAGGATGCGGTGAGCCGAGATCGTGCCATTGCACTCCAGCCTGGGTAACAAGAGCGAAACTCCTCCTCAAAAAAAAAAAAAAAAAGAATAAACAGGTAGGTTATACTTACACCATCTCTAAATCTGCTGGCAATTCACTTTCTTTTTCCCAGGTTAATATCTCTACTGCATACCGAAACATAATAGCAAAAATGTTGTAAGTTCTTGCTATCACATCTTCTGATAAATGAACAAGAGGATCCTGAAAGAACAAGAAAAAAAAAGTAAAAGGGGGCAACCATGTTAAATGTACATTAATTTTCATTCTGCATCTAGCTCATATCTCACTGTAACCTCAAATTCCTGGACTCAAAGTGATTTTCCACCTCAGCCTAAAACTCAATTATTCATAAAATATTGGTAATAGCAGTATCTATACTATGAGGCTATTTTGAGAATTAAATGAGATAGACCAAGTAGTCAGTGTTAACATCTAGTTATTAATAATTACTGATCTGAATTCAAATGGATGGGAGCCGCATTTGTGAGAGAAATTTCAGATTACAAAAATTTCACTAAGGTTGTTGTTCAGTTAATATTTCTTATGAAATTAAATCTCATTCCAAATAGGATTTATAGCAACTTAAGAATATATCTATATCCCAGCTACTTGGGAGGCTGAGACAATGAATGATTGAATTCAGGAGTTAAGAGATCAGCCTAGGCAACACAGTAACAAACACCATGTCTTTAAAAATTAAGTTAATTTTTTTTTTAAAGAATACAGCTTAAAAAAAAAAAAAAAAGGATACACCTAAAAGAGTGGTATACAAAAAAAAAAAAAAAAAAAAAAAAAAAAAAAAAAAGATGTACAAAGCAGGTAAAGGAAAACAAAGATAGGAAAATAAGCCACATCTATTTGTAAATAAAGATCACATAAATTTCCATACAGCTACTACAGACAGGTTGTTTCCAACCATTTGGCTCTTTTTCCAGAAGTCTCATTAAAAGGAAACACAATCAGTTACCAGATTTCATACCAGGAGAAATGTAACATTTCCTAATACAGAGACCTAAGAGAAATTTCTTATGGACTCCTATAAAGACTAGAAAGGAGGTACCACACATTATGTGGTGGTTCTCAATGGCAAGAGGGACATCTCACCACCCTCCCCACTCACTCCCACACCCAAGGGGCCATTTGGAAACCTCACTGGGCATTTTTTGTTGTCACTGTAGAGGAAGATGCTAGTGACATTTAGGGAGTGGGAACTGCAGGCTAAACACAATGCTTTCAATAACCTACACCTAGGTCAACAAACTCTGTAATGGGAACAACAGCTACAAATATTACATTAAAACTTAAGCATGACTGAGCTTCAATAACATTTTATTTATGGGCACTGAAATTTGGATTTCATGTAATTTTCTCATGTCACAAAATATAATTCTGTTGATTTTTTTCAACTATTTAAAAACAGACACAAAAACAGGTTGTGGACAAGATTTGGCTTGCAGGAATCAGAGCTTGCTGAATCCTGTCCTATACAATGAAGAACTATCCCACCCCCAAATGCAGAGTTGCGAAGATCTGTGGAACTCTTAAACAGTATTTCTATAAGTAATTACCAGGTTCCCTCCAGCTTTTTCTGAAGATGTAGGCTAAATGTATGACAAAAAAAAAATTATGTTCAATAGTTACTGGGAAGAGGTATGCTAAACATAATGCTATCTTAATATCTTAAAGTCTTACCCTGGAAGACTTCATTTCTTTTAAACTTTTTTTTTATTTTTGAGACAGGGTCTCACTCTGTTGCCGAGGCTGGAGTGCAGTGGCGCTATCATGGCTCACCGCATCCTCAACCTCCCCGGGCAGACTCTGGTGATCCTCCTACCTCAGCCTCCCAAGTAGCTGGGACTACAGGCATACAGCATTAAGCCTGGCCAATTTTGTAATTTTTGTATAAACGGGGTTTTGCCATATTGCTCAGGCTTGTCTTGAACTTTTGGGTTCAAGTGATCTGCTCACCTCGGCCTTCCATAGGGCTGGGATTACAGCAAGAGCCACTGTGACCTGGCCTTAATTAAACTCTTAAATATAAATTAATGGTAAAGTTTGGAAGCTTTATTCTCTGTCTAGTTCTAGGAGTATACATTCTCCAGGAAGAACTGTATGACATTTGGCTAGGCAGGTGAGCTTGTTGGCGTCCTCTTAAAATTTAGGAAATTAACCAGAGCTTGGACTGTTTGATAGCCATCCCACTAATGTATGAGGATAAAGTCAACAGAGCAAATGTATGTAGGCAGATTAAAATAATTTTCTAAGAAAATTTTGAAGTCTACTCTAACACAAGGATAAAAAAGGTAACAGAAGTCCTAAAGTATTTTTTCCATATAAATAACAAGAAATTCACAGAACATAAAATTAACTATTTTAAAGTGAACAAGTCAGTGGTACTTGGTACATTTATTATAATGCGCAACTACTACAATCTAGTGCCAAAACATTTCTATCACTCCAAAGTAAAACCCCTTATCTACTAAGCCATTTATCTCCATTTTCCTCTTCCCCAGTGGCTGGCAAACTACCAATCTACTTTTTCTCTCTATAGACATATTTATTCTGAATATTTAATATAAAAGGAATCATACAATATGTGACGTTTTGACTCTAGCATCTTTCGCTTACTATGTTTTAGAGGTTCATGCATGTTGTAGCAGGCATCAGTACCTCATTTCTTTTTTTTTGAGACAGAGTCTTGTTCTGTTGCCCAGGCTGGAGTGCAGTGGCGAGATCTCAGCTCACTGCAACCTTCACCTCCTAGATTCAAATAATTCTGCTGTGTCAACCTCCTGAATAGCTGGGATTACATATAGGCACATGCCACCATGCCCAGTTAATTTTTGTATTTTTAGTAGAGACACGGTTTCACCATGTTGGTCAGGCTGTTGTTGAACTCCTGACCTCGTGATCTGTCTGTCTCAGCCTCCCAAAATGCTGAGATTACAGGTGTGAGCCACTGAGCCCAGCCCTTCATTCCTTTCTATGGATGAAAAAATTCCATTGTATGTATATTATCACAATTTGTTCATCCATCCATCCATCCATCCATCCACTGATGAACATTTGGGCTGTTTCTACCTTTTGACTATTGTGAACAACATTGCTACAACATGTGTGTGCATGTACTTGCTCAACTTCTGGTTTTCAGTTCTTTTGGGTATATATCTAGGTATGAAATTCAAAATCATATGGTAATGTTTAATACTTTGAGTAATAGCCAAACTGTTTTCCACAGCACTGAATCATTTTCTATTTCCACCAGCAATACACAAGGGTTCTAATTTCTCTATATCCTTGTCAACACTTATTATTAGTTTTTATTTTTAATATTTTTTTTGAGACAGTCTCGATGTTGCCCAGGCTGGAGTGCAGTGCTGCGATCTCGGCTCACTGCAACCCTGCCTCCTGGGTTCAAGCAATTCTCTTGCCTCAGCCTCCCAAGTAGCTGGGACTACAGGCATGTGCCACCATGCCTGGCTAATTTTTTTTTTATTTTTAGTAGAGATGGGGTTTCACCATGTTAGCCAGGATGGTCTCAATCTCCCGACCTTCTGATCCACCCACCTTGGCCTCCCAAGGTGTTGGGATTACAGGTGTGAGCTATTATTATTTTTAATAGTCATCCTACTGAGTATGAAGCAGTATTTCACTGTGGTTTTGATTCTGCATTTCCCTAATGACTAATGACGTTTAGCATCTTTTCACCATGTGTTTGATCATTCATATATCTTCTCTGTAAAAATGTCTATTCAAGTCTTTTGCCTATTTTTAAATTGGGTTATCTTTTTATTGTTGAGTTGCAAGATACAAACTCTGGATATTAGATCCTTATTGGATATACGGATATATACTTTCTCCCACAGTCCTAAAGTTTTATACCAGTGGTTTTTATCCTTTTTCTAAAGCACAGTTATTTTTTTCAAATATATCTTTATTTGTCCTGTATTTCCACATACAGAACTCCAATCAAATATACAAAATTGGAGCTTCTCCAAGAGAAGTGGAAAAATCTGGAACCGTGACCACTTGGTATCTTACTGTAGCAAATTATAGAACACTTTCACAATACAAAGGAAACAAAAACAAAACATGTTTTCCATAGCACTGAATCATTTTGTACAAATTTTGATTTGTACAAAACAGAGAAACAGCCTAAAAGATACAATACTACATCAAAAGCCTTGATCATTCTGATAAAATCTATTTGAAACCTGTAGAGTATGGGTACCAGGAATAACTTTGTTTTTAGACAGGGTCACAATCTTGACTCACTGCAACCTCTGCCTCCTGTAGCTCAAGCGGATCCCACTTCAGCACCCCCAATCTGAGTGGCTGGGACCACAGACATGTGCCACCACACCCAGCTAACTTTTTTTTTTTTTTGTAGGGATGGGGTTTTGCCACTTGCCCAGGCTGGTCTCAAACTCCCAAGCTAAAGTGATTCACCCTCCCAGGCTGAGGAAAGACTTATTAACATCCACTTGCCCCAAATCTGTATCAGGCCTACCAACAATGTAGAAGTACTCGGGTGTATCTATTCCCCTGCCATTTAAAAATAATAAAATCTGAAAGAAGGATCTTGAATCATACAACAAATTGTCATAAAAAGCAGCAGCAGAAGGATAGCCACAGGTTGGCTAATGGACGTAAGAACGAAGCTAGACAGAAAGAGTAAGTTGTGATGCTCTACAGCACAACTATAATGAACAACAATTGACTGTATATTTTCACACAGCTAGAAGAGCTGATTGTGAAAGTTTCCAGTATAAAATAATGTTAAATGTTTGAGGTGATGGATATGCTAATTACCCTAACTTGATCATTATACATCATATACATGTAACAAAATGTCACACTGTGCCCCATAAATATCACTGTACCCCATAAATATGTACAATTATGTGCCAATTAAAAAACAATTTTGTTTATTATCTATTGTAGTATACCACTGAAAGATTTTATCATTATATAATTATAGTTGTGAGTTATCAGAAATATATGAAAAGTTCTTGAATCTTTTTAAAAAAGGCGGCAGAGATTTAAGCATTTATTTTGTGGGAGTCTACTATTCCATTAGAAATATTAATTAAAAAAATAATGCAGGATCAATACTTTGAAAAACACAGTGAGCAGTGGGAATTATTTGTACTGAGCTATCATTACTACACATGGCCCCATCACATATCCAATGATAATGGATTAACCAGGAGAGAATGATTGGGGTTGGCTGTCATGTAAAGTAACAGAAAAGAAACTTATCTGGCCCAGAAAGTCTTTGTTGTAACAAAGATACACAAAATTCAACTTAGTTAAGTGGTCTACACATATATGAAAAATAATCCCCTCTATCATAAATTAGTATTCAAATAAACTTCAAGTTTGCTTAAAACAAAACCCCAACCAAATAAAAAATCAGAATTAAACAAAATTTTCGAATTTCAACTGTGTACTATTAGCAACCACAGACATCTACAAAATGTAAAGAACTTTCAAAGTAAACTAGTTGCTGTCAATAATGGAAGTACTATTTGCTTATCCATTTCTCACATCATCTAATGACTATTTCTAAAAATATTTCAAATGTGGGTTAAAAACAACTTTGTGAAAATGTTTTTACCTCTTCTTCCTCAATTTCAGAGGTGTTAAGTTCATGTTTCTGACAGTAAGGACCCTCTTTCCAAGCTTCAGCATCACCACAGTCACAGAAACCTCCACCTCCTGATGTTGTCATCTTGGAAAAAAATTGTAAAGTATCTTGTCAATAAATATTTATGGGGAGCTATCAGATAATAAATAAGAATATCGAGTGCTCAGAAAATACCATTGCTTAAGTGTTTAATTTCTTTGGAGGCATAAAATTAGATAAAATGCCAAACCTCTCAATGTTTTAAAGTCTATTTTAAATAAGACTATAAGCTAGTGATTTCAAAATAAAATAACCTACTTTGTAATGTTAGCTACAGATATTTAAAAGAGGATATGTTTGCCTACATGACTTCCTTAATCAGGAAAATCATGAGGATCACATGAGGTTTTTCTGCTGGGTTTTGGTTAAATTGGTATAATGCTGATGTCTATGCTACAGGTTGTGATGCTATAAACATAATAGACTCAGGGGTTAACAGATTCCTATAGCTGCTGTCTCCTAAAACAGTCTAAGAGTGTTGCATTTGCGTTGGAGAAATTAACCAACAAATACTATAGAAAGAGTTAATTTTTCTTCTCTAATACTCCCTAAATAGTCATTCTTTGAAAGGACAGGTAATAGGGGCTCGGGAAATAGGAAATAGACTTCTTGATAATAAAAACTCTTCACCACCTGCAAGGTTCAGAATTATTCAAACTTCCGTAAGACAGGGAAATGATTTGAGAAATCCGGTATCACAGAACCAGAATTAACGACTGATAGACTAGAAATTCTGCTTTTCTTAAAATACTTTGAGGAAGAGCCTAGTAATAGGTATTAGATACAGCAAATTTTAGAATGAGTCCTATTATATTCTGGCCAAAGTAAGTATTTGTGTGTTATATATCACAATATGACTAATGTAACCCCACAAATGACAACTATCCCTAGGGAATGCAAAGATATATGCCAAGAAATGCGGGTAGGAGTCATTTGGAAAATGACACGTGCTTGTTTCAGTTATAAAACACAGGCAGAACAGCTTGAAGGAAACTGGGCCTCTTTTACTGATTTATGAGACTAATGAACAGACAAGAATATAAGTAGCCTAATTATGTGGCTGTTTTTAATTTATTTACATTTTTTATTTTGGGATGGAGTCTCGCTCTGTAGCCCAGGCTGGAGTGCAGTGAGGTGATCTTGGCTCACTGCAACTTCCGCCTCCCAGGTTCAAGTGATTCTCCTGCCTCAGCCTCCCAAGTAGCTGGGATTATAGGCGTGTGCCAACATGCCTGGCTAATTTTAATTTTTTTTTTTTTAGTAGAGACAGGGTTTTATCACGTTGGTCAGGCTGGTCTCAAACTCCTGACCTCAAGTGATCCCCCACCTCGGCCTCCCAAAGTGCTGGGATTACAGGCGTGAGCCACCACACCCAGCCCTGTAACTATTTTAGTTCATATTATGAACTCTTAGATAGAATAAATAAAAACAAACAGGCGGAAAAGCTTTGACCCAGATGGGCTCCTGAATTAAGAATATTAAAATATTCCTTCTCTACCATTCTATTTTATGATTAGGGTGAAAAGTTCCATCTAACAACAGTTCCCTACAATGTAGGAGATGCCCTTTAATAAACATTTTTAAAAATAGCAAAACAAAAACTAACTAGTTGAAAAGCAATACAGAAGAGCTGATATCTCTATTACCTTTTTAAAATCGTATGCTCCAAGAAGTGTGCATTCATAATTTGTTTCTACATTGCCATCCTATGTCCCATGGTATTTAAATAAACAAACTGTTTAAACCACCCACACCCCATGTTAGTGTTAAATTTTTGCATTTTAAAAAGAAAGAATTTATTATAAAATGCAATACTGGGCATGGTTATTATTTGGACATTACTAACCCTATATCGATGATCTCTGTGAATACTTCCCAAAAAGCACTCCATGCACAAAACACAAGTTGGATCAACTGCACAGTCTCTGTAAAGTTAAAGAAAAAAAAATCAGAGTGTCAGAAAATAACTATATACAACAGAAATAATTCAAATTGGAATCCACCCTAGAAGAATGATAATGGCAAAGTTTCTTGGTGTTTTAAAAAAGGAAGTATCATTCCCAAAGATCTGTCAGATCTTTGATCAATGAAAGCAGTCGAAGGACCTGCTTCTCCATATGAATGTATACTAGGAAGTCTTTCAAGGCACGTTATTAGAACAGTAGATTTTAATGTAATGGTGTTTTCCCATAGATTTGTAGAAATCACATTACACGTTAAAACACATAGATGTGTTTGAAATAGATTAAAAATATTTATGAATTCCTAAGATTCATATATTGGAATTTCAAACAATTTCTTCCAAACAGGTATTTGAGACCAAGGGTCTTCAAAGTGACATATACACACCCCTAGAAAGGCAAAAATATCAACTGCAATGCAAGATGACAATATTAGAACTTACATTTCTAAATTTTAACTAAAGAGGGAAATTAAACATTCTACTGGTTCACTGCACAGAATGATACAGGTCTCCTCACATAGCTCCTATTTCTGGTATTCACACAACACATATGGTCCATGAGAAATCCTGACTCAAGAGTAAGAGCCTCAAAAGGTTGCTTGGGGTGCCCTGAGTTGTTTCATTTGCTTTAATCATATTGCCAGTTAAGATATATTTATAGATCATATATTAAGAGAATCTGAACAATTCCATGAAATGAAATGGGGAGTGTAAAATAAGAAATCTATTATTGGTTCCTGACATCAGGCTCCTAAAACTCTTGTAGATGAGGGTGCCAGCAGATGTGCTAAAATTTAGTCTTTAGCCTTAGTTATGGCCACAGAAATGCCTTGGGTGACAGAAAAGTCTTCGTTTTTTTTTTTTTTTTTAATTGAGCCAGGCTGGAGTGCAGTGGCACGCTTATGGCTCACTGCAGCCTCAAACTCAACCTCTTGGGCTCAAGTGATCCTCCCACTTCAACTTCCCTGGTAGCTAGGAGTACAGGTGCGTGTTACAATGGAGGGCTAATTTCTGTATCTTTTGTAGAGATGGAGTTTTATCATGTTACCCAGGTTGGTCTCCAATTCCTGGGCCCAAGCAATACTCCTGTCTCCGCCTCACAAAGTGCTGGGAATACAGGCATGAGCCACTGTGCCCAGCCAAGTCTTTTGTTCTGACAAGGTGGCTGATGGCTGGGAGCTTCAAGACTGCTTTAGGATGGAAGCTGGTGGCCACGGGACCCAAGCACGTGATTAAAGGGTTGAAACTTAAAGCCCTACCTCCAGCTCTGGGGATGGTGAACTGATCAGCAGTGGCCAATGATGTAATTAATCATGGTTATGTAATGAAGTCGCCACAAAAAAACCAAAAAGACTGGAAGAGCTTCCAAATTTCTTTCTTGAATGGAGTCTCATTGTGTTGCCCAGGTTGGAGTGCAGTGGTGTGACTGCAGCTTACTGCAGCCTCCGCCTCCCCGTTTCAAGTAATTCTCCTGCCTCAGTCTCCTGAGCAGCTGGGACCACAGGTGTGTGCCACGATGCCCAGCTAATTTTTGTATTTTTAGTGGAGACGGGGTTTCGCCATGTTGGCCAGGCTGGTCTCGAACTCCTGACCTCAGGTGATCCACCTGCCTCGGCCTCCCAAAGTGCTGGGATTACAGGCGTGAGCCACTGTGCCTGGCCTTGTTGTTGTTTTGTTTCTTGAGAAAGGGTCTAGCTCTGTCACCCAGGCTGGAGTGTGGCCTGATCACAGCTCAAAGCAACCTTAAACTTCTGGGTTTGAGCAGTCCTCCCACTTCAGTCTCCTGAGTAGCTGTAACTTCAGGCTCAAGCCACTTTACCTGGCAACTTCTTGGTTTTTTTTCCTTCCTTTTTTTTTTTTCTCTTTTTTTTGGTAGAGACAGCATCTTGGTACGTTGCCCAGGCTAGTCTCAAACTTCTAGCTTCAAGTAATTATCTGCCTCAGTCTTCCAAAGTGCTGGGATTATAGGAATGAGCCACCATGCCTGGCCCCTATAAAAATTCAACAAGATTTAATGGACTTCCAAGTTGCTGGAACTGCACCCAGGGACTGAGGTGCTAGGAGGGTGGTATGCCCAGAGAGAGCATGGACGCTCCTCACCCTTTCTCCCATACCTTGCCCTATTATGTCTCCAATCTGGCTGTTCTTCTGTATCCTTTACAATATCCTTTCTCATAAACCAGTAAGTACAAGTGTTCCCCTGTGTTCTGTAAGCTGTCCTAGCGAGTTAATCCAACCCAAGGAGGAACTACTAGAGACCCCAACGTATGGCTGGTCAGTCAGAAGTACAGCTAGTGCTTGACTTACGACCACGATTGGTTCCGACAGACCGGTCATAACACGATTTGGTCGTAAGTTGAGTAGGCTGTATGTACGGTACTGTGAAACGATGTTATAAAAACATCATTCCTTCTTGGCAGGCTGAGGCGTAGACAAAGACAATTTCCTCTTGGTAGACATCTTGGGAGGGGTTTGATGAAAAATATCCAAGACACAGAACACAAACTGCTGTACCAAGTCTGGGATAACAGTTGAAATGATGCACGTGGAGATGGTAGTGCTGCCGGAAGCTGGTCCACGTTGTCGTAGGCCCAGCTGGGCAACGTTTGCGCTGCCAGATGCGGAGCAGTCGTGGCTAGCGATTGTGGTTGTAAAGTTGAATGGTCGTAAGTTGCATAGGTCATAAGTTGATCAATACCTGTATAGGTGACTACTAATTGCAATTGATGTCTAAAGTAGGGGGGCAGACTTGTGAGACTGAGCTGTTAGCCTTTGGATTCTGACAATAACTCCAGGTAGACAGAGTCAGAATTAAATTGTAAGATACCCAGCCAGTGTTCATAGTTGGAGAAATCCTTAGTGTGAAAAAAAACAAAACCTCACCTATCTGGTGTCAGAAGCGTTGCATGAGAATGTAGAGAAAAAGTGTGTTTTTCCCAGAATAATAAAAAAAGGAAGAAAAAAATGAGTGCAAAATGAAAACATTTTCAGACAAGATCGGGACATTCAGGGTGATATGGCCATAGATAATAAAAATATTTTCAGATAAACATAAACTGAGAGAACTAATAATTAGTAAACACAGTAAAAGTCAAGAACAATGGCCCACAGCCTCTGGTTCAACCTGCAACGTAAGAATGATTTTTTTTTTAAGATGGAGTCAAGCTCTGTTGGCCAGGCTGGAGTACAGTGGCGTGATCTCGGTTCACTGCAACCTCTGCCTCCTGGGTTCAAGTGATTCTCCTGCCTCAGCCTTCTGAGTAGCTGGGATTACAGGCACACGCCACCATGCCCAGCTAATTTTTTTTTTTTTTTTTAAGTAGAGACGGGGTTTCACCATGTTGGTCAGGCTGGTCTCGAATTCCTGACCTCGTCATCTGCTCGTCTCGGCCTCCCAAAGTGCTAGGATTACAGGCATGAGCCACCGTGCCTGGCCAAGAATGATTTTTACATGTTTAAACAGCTATTTTAAAAAAGAAGAAGGCTGGGTTTGGTTGCTCACACCTGTAATCCCAGCACTTTGGGAGGCTGAGGCAAGAGGATCACTTGAGTCCAGGAGTTTGAGATCCGTCCTGGCAACACAGTGAGACCCCATCTCTACAAAAAATTTAAAAATTAGCCAGGCATGGTGGCATGCACCGGTAGTCTCAGCTACTTGGGAGGCTGAGGTGAGAAGATTGTTTGAACCTGGGAGGTCAAGGCTGAGGTGAGTTGTGGTTATACCACTGCACTCCTGCCTGGGCAACAGACAGGGCAAGACCCCGTCTCAAAGAAAGAAAGAAAAAAAAATTAAAAGAAAAAGAATTCGCAACAAAGACTGCATATATATTTTCTACTTGGATTTTTACAGAAAAAGCTTGCTAACCTCGAATCCAGGAAAGAATCAAGATCACTGGGAGCAAGATATGTGTAGGTTAATATTAATGGTTATACATATTTTTTCCTATCTTTTCTTGATGTCTTTAAAAGACTAACATGTTAAAGCAAAAAACGTAACATTGCATTGTAAGGTTTATAATGTTTATAGGTGCAATATATATGACAAGAAGCACAAAGGAGGAAAGGAATAAATGTAACTATAAATGCAAGGTTCATTTATTTAATGTGAAGTACTAAAAAAAGACGTTGACAAGTTAAAGATGCATATTATAATCCTGATTTACCATTTAAAAATATGCAAGAGAATAGCTAAAAAGCCAAAAAAAAAAAAAAAATCAAAATGAAATGCTACAATTTTAATTATCCCAAAAGGAACAGAGGAACAACAAAAAAAAAGAGGGACAAACAGAAAACAAATAGCAAAATAGTAGACCTAAATCAACAACTAATAATTGTAGGCATATCAGTAATTACATCCAACAACTGCGAAATATACCGTCTTTTCAAAGGCATATAGAATAAGACTAACCATGTTGCCAAACCATAAAAGAAGTTTAAAGTTTTGTTGGTTGAGACAGGGTCTGGCTGTATTGCCTAGGCTAGAGTACAATGGTACAATCTCAGCGCACTGCAACCTCCGCCTCCTGGGCTCAAGTTGCTCTCCCACATAGCTGGGAATACAGGAGTGCTCCACCATGCCCAGCAAATTTTTGTATTTTTTTGGTAGAGATGGGGTTTTGCCATATTGTCCAGGCTGGTCTTGAACTCCTGGGCTCGAGCTATCCATCCATCTTAGCCCTCCAAAGTGCCAAGATTACAGGCGTGAGCCATGTTGCCCGGCCCTCAAAACAAATTTCAGTAAATTTCAAAACTGAAACCTTACAGAATGTGTAACTTTGTTAGAAATAAGCTACAACACATTATCTAAGAAAGCCTCAAATACGTGGAAATTAAGCAATGCACTTCTAAGTAACCCATGGGTCGAAGAAGATAATATAAGGAAGAATAATAAGAGTAGAAATCAATAAAACAAAAGACAAAATTAAACAAAGCTAAAAACTGATTATTTGAAAAGGTTAAGAA